TGATACACCTGTGAAGAACCTGACATCCAATGAAACCAAAGCAGAAATTACTGGGTTAATCCCTGGGACACCATACAACTTCACAGTATTTGCTGTAGCAGCTGATCATGAGACAGAAGGAGAAAGAGCACTCAGAAATCTGTATACAAGTAAGGAAATGGTGCCTCCAATTACAAGTAACTGTGCTGTTTGTACCAAACTGCTCTGCTTTCTTTCTTTGGTTTTCCAACTTCATCCTGTTTCTCATTGTGACACTGCTTTTTTGCTCCAGCTATGTGCATATATGGATGCTGCGGTGTTTGCGAAAGGACTGAAATGGTCTCTGTGCTTCCATGTGCCACCTGCAAATCAGTTATTTCATCAGCATGTCTACTCAAGACTATGTAGCCATCCAGCTGCTGCCACAGCATGACTTGTAGACACTTGAGGGCTGAGTAGACCCCTCACATCTCTGGGAATGGGTTATTGCAGCTCATACCAAAAGATGTGGTGTGCAGGGATGTGGTGCCATGGTCACTGAGGCTTTTTTGTCTTAAAGATTGTTGAGCTCTTTGCAGAGTCTGGGGCCTGAGGTTCATGTGGGCTGTGACTGACTCACTTCCTAGGGCTGCATTATCAAGTATGGTTCCAATCTTTTTGGCTTTTTGGCAGGGCACATTTTTCCTAGACTAGATAAATGTGATAGGAGTAGACACTACTTTTGTGTGTAGCTCAGAAATGCAAAGAGAGCAAAAGAGGCAATGTCCCTACACAGCAATTTGGAGGAGTATGTCCTGGTGCTGCTATTGAGTCCATAAATTTGTCTAAGCTGACTGAAGTAAGTTTTATCTGTCTGGAATTGGTGCTGAGTTGGGCTTGCAGACACAGGTATGTCAGCTGTTGGACCTGTTCAAGCATCCCATTTCTTTTTCCTGGTATTGAGGAGAGTTTAGGCTGAAAGTCTCAAATTGAGACTCATAGGCACAATTTTGAGTTAACAGACCAAGATCAGCTTGGTCTGTTTCCTTCCCTGATTTCCATCTGTTTCTCTGTCTGGAAAACCACTGTGGGAACAAGTAATTGTTGCATATGAAATTAAATAGAATACGCCCCAAAGCTCCTATGACCTTTCCAGACATGCCTCAGTATGAATGCCTGAAGCAGGAAAGTGATGCTTGGCTCCAAGTGATGCTCATTCTGTGTGGAATAGGAAAATGTGGTTGTGGCTCTTCTTTAATTCTTTTTTTTTGACAGGTTGTTGCTTTGCCTTTCACAGGGCCCAGCCCAGTTGTTGATCTCGAGGCAGAAACCATTGGTGTGACTTCTGTCACCTTAAAATGGGGGGTGAATGACAGCGCTTTCAGTACCTACACATACAGGATAGAGGTTGTGAATGGTACAAGTGATACACTTGTGGAGAATGTGACATCCAGTGAAACCAAAGCAGAAATTACAGGGTTAATCCCTGGAACACTGTACAACTTCACAGTATTTGCTGTAGCAGCTGATCATGAGACAGAAGGAGAAGGAGTGTCTATGTACCTGTATACAAGTAAGTTACAGTTTTTTGCATTGCTGTTGCTGGTGGTCTGTGCTTTGCTGTGCAGCATTAGGCTCTGCCCACGTATCCAATGGTTGTAATTTAAGAGTGTTGCAGGCAGAGGTGATGATTCCATCCTGGAGCTGGAAATGGCTAATCCCCAGTATGGGATGTTAGTGTAGAAGTAGAATTGCCCTGGTAGAAAGCTGTTGTTAAAGCTACCTCCAAGACGATCAGTGAAGAGACTTTTCCCTGAGCACTGATCTCTTGCAAATTTGGCAAAGGGGCGTTTTCATTGGCTTCCTAGAGTATGGGAACCCGAGATTCTTATTTTAAGGTGCTCCCACAAAGAGCATGTTGTGGCAGGTGAACTTGTGTGATTTGGGAAGCCTGTAGCTGCCATCGTGGTGCAGCCAGAGAGAGATCCAGGCAGTGCTAGATCAGGAGAACTCCTGTGGCCACAAAGCACCTTGCCATGTTGAGTATTAAAAATCTTGACATGATGTGCTGTTGGAGGAGCCATTTTGGAGCTGGCTTCCAAGGCTGTAGCTCAGCCTGATCTTTTCACACAGTGCATTTGAAGGAAAATGGATGAATGTTCTTGTCATTTGTCTTTTCCTGAAATGTGCCTGCATGTATGATCCTAGCTGACCAGTCAATGCCCAAAAGTCTGCCCTGTGCTGTCTGTAATGGCTAATTGCCCTTTAAAAGATGCAAGAATAGGGGGCTGGAGACAGTGTCTCCAGAGAATCTGGAGATGGTTTCTCTTCTATGGGAGTGAAATGCAGGGCATGAGGATTGGAGCAGAATGTCTTGTTCATCACTGCTAATCCTCATCTAGTGATATTGCATCTTCCTTGTATTTTACTGTACAGAGTTGCACCATGGGCATCTTTCCCCTCCACTGTTCTCTCCTTGCTGCCTACCTTTTAGCCAAGTGAAATTCTTCAAGTGGTGACACTTGGCTGGCCTGTGCCCCTCTTGCCCTTGCCTGTGAAAGGAAAATGAGTAATGCTTGAGATGGCTCATTCTCAATACCCTGCTACCCAGCTATTAATGCAAAAGCCTCCAGGAATGGCTGGTGATGTTGTTGGGGTGCTCCTGCACTCTGGGCCATGAGTGGTGT